GCCGGGCCAGGGCGGCTCCGCGCGGGGAATGCCGCGCCATGCGCTTCGGGGGGCTCCGGAAGGCGCGCGGGTCCTCTGGGGCTGGGGTAGGGCGCAGACTCCCGGGAGAGCGGGCTCGGTGTTGGGAGTGGCAGGTCGCGGTGGGGGCGGCGCGTGGAGTTCCGCTTCTGGGGGCTGATTTGGTTAGGTGGGGTTACAGGTGTCTTTGCTGCCAACTAGCCCGAGAATTCCTCTTTGTCTCCCTTGGAAAATCCTCTGTGGAGCCACATACTGGCTCTCACTTAGAAAGAATGCAGCCTGCTGGCCAGCCGGTGACGTCAGCGCTGGAGTATTTGGAAAACAAAGAGGGACCGGGAGCGAGGGAGGGAGGCGGCCCGCGACGCTTAAAGACCTCTCCGGGCTGCGGGCTACGCTCGCCGCCAGCCCCGGCGCACCGGTGCCCGTGGCCGCCCGGGTCGGGGCAGGGCGGGAACCGCAGCCCGCGGGCTGCGACCTGACTCCAGGCGCTCGCTGTGGTTTCTCGGCGACAGGGACCGTGGCAAAGGCCGCAGCTGCGTGCCTGCGAGGGGCCGCAGAGGTGCACGCAGGGGTCGGGGAAGCAGGTTTCAGTAAGGGCTCGGCCCTTGGGTGACTGAGAGGATGTGCGTCTGAGGGGCTTGCCGGCGACACATTCGCGATGAGAGGCCTCCGAGGTGTCCCTTGCTCCCGGTCCTGGCACTCTGTCGGCGCGCCTGGAATCTGTCGGAAAGGCTCTGCATTCCTTCTTTCTGCTCCCGGGCCCTCCTCAGAGGGAATTAGCCCAGACAGTGATTAATTTAGGAAGTGCCCCGCAGGTGAAACTCAGGCGAATTGACTTCTAGTGGCTTGTTTTGCCTGTAGTAACTGCGGTCTTGCACATGTACTCCTCGTGGGGGGGTGGGGGTGGGGGCAGTTGGGTGCCAGGAAGGATGGGTACATGGATGCCCTCCAGACTCATCCCCCACTCCCCAGCTCTGGGCAGCTGGAGTCCTGGGGGAGGAGGGGAAAGGAGTAGATTGGGAATGGCTGCTCTACCAACATGCCAAGCCCAAGCTGAGGCAGGCACTGGGGCTAGTTGTGTGGCAGAGGAGGGAGCACATTCCTCCTGCCCCCCTCCCCCATGCACACAGGACCTGCGGCAGTGTGGATTTTGTTTGGTTTTCCCTGGATCCCAGTTTGGGGGTTTGTGTTGGAGAAGGCTGTGGAAGGGAAGCTGGGTGAGGGAGGTGGCAGCCTTCCAGGCCGTAAGCTGCTGGGAGCCCAAGCTTCAAAGGGAACACCTTCCTCGGATGTTATGTCCCTGCACTTTAGGTTCACAGTCTCCAGACCCACATCCCTGCAAACCAAGAGCCTACCCCAGGTCCCTTTACTCCTCCACTTGGACCAAGTGAGTGTCACTGATGTCAGCAAAGATGCTGAGTGCCATCCCCTATGTGCCCTCCCTGTGCCTAGAGGACCAGTGGTGGCTTTGGCAAGTAGCAAGTGTATTGGGAGGGGGGGATAATCATAAAATCAAAAACATCATGCCATCCTTTTTTTCCCCCGGAGCTCTCATGCAATTACTGTCAGCACACAGAGGCTAGGTGACTGTCACACTAACCTTGATGGGAAGAACCTTTTTGCCTGACATCACAAAACCGTTGTCCCATTGTAACCTTTCTTTTTTCATCCCTTATTCACCAATTGAGATATGATTTCTCCTTCTTCCTTTCACCTTGCAGAATGATTGCCAAGGTCATCCCATGACAGGGAGCTCTGATTCATTCTCTCAGCAGCCCTCAATGAAGCAGAGTCCTGGGTCTGTCCTCCAGGAGCTTTCTGGTTCAGGGAGAGTGAGATGTGGATAGAAGGCTCAGGAGGGTACAGGGTGGGAGGCTGACTGTGCTAAGGCGTGCTTTATTCTAGAGGGTACAGGGGGCCGTTTGCCTAGGGCTTCTAGTGGGCTGCACACATTCTTTTTCACCTGCCAATAAACTGGGGCCCTGTCCACCCCCAGACTGGACAGCTAAGGGGTTAGGTCTGAACTAGGCCTGCCCTGGAGTGCTTCATCAGGCTGTTTGATGAGTCAGCCCCCTGACTGCAAGGGGCTGTTGTTCCTGATAGAGTATCTTCTGGTTTACTGTTGTCTTTACCTAGGCATAGTAAGTCTCCATGAATATCAGTATAACAGAAAGCATTTGCTAAGGATTTATGTTGTACCAGGAGCTCAACATCCATTGCCTCTTTTAATTCTCAACTCCGGGAGGCAAGCAGTATTCTTTCCTTCTTTCTGATGGAGAAACTGAGGCTTGGAGGTTAGGCAACTTGCCTTAATCAGTAGGTGGCAGCATTGGCGCTCGAACCCAGGCTTGTGTGAACCACCCCACTGCCCCCAAGTCTTGCTCTTTACCATTCTGCTTTCAACCAGACTGTAATAGAGAGTCGTCTCCTTTCCATGTGCTTCCACTGATTACTCTTCTCTCTTTTGCCAGGTGCCACTGGCCATTGTCCAGACAGGTGTGTGCAAGCCAAAGAAGCATGAGGACCCTGGAAGACTCCTCAGGGACAGTCCTGCACCGCCTCATCCAGGAGCAGCTGCGCTACGGCAACCTGACGGAGACGCGTACTCTGCTGGCCATCCAGCAGCAGGCCCTGCGTGGTGGGGCCGGAGCTGGGGGCACAGGGAGCCCCCAGGCCTCCCTGGAGATCTTGGCACCCGAGGACAGTCAGGTGCTGCAGCAGGCCACAAGGCAGGAGCCCCAGGGCCAGGAGCACCAGGGCGGTGAGACACACCTGGCAGAGAACACCCTCTACCGGCTGTGCCCCCAGCCCAACAAGGGCGAGGAGCTGCCCACCTATGAGGAGGCCAAAGCCCATTCACAGTACTATGCGGCCCAGCAGGCAGGGCCCCGGCCTCATGGTGGGGATCGGGATCCTCGTGGAGCCCCGGGAGGCAGTCGGCGGCAGGATGAGGCCCTGCGAGAGCTGAGGCATGGGCACGTGCGCTCCCTGAGTGAACGGCTTCTGCAGCTGTCCCTGGAGAGGAACGGCGCCCGAGTCCCCAGCCACATGAGCTCCTCCCACAGCTTCCCACAGCTGGCCCGCAGCCAGCAGGGCCCCCTACCCCGGGGACCCCCTGCTGAGGGCCCAGAGCCCCGTGGACCCCCACCTCAGTACCCACATGTTGTACTAGCTCATGAGACCACCACTGCTGTCGCTGACCCACGGTACCGCACCCGCAGCAGCCCACACTTCCAGCATGCTGAAGTCAGGTAACTGCCCCACCTTGGCCTTTCAAGCTGTTGGCTTTCTTCTAGTGTAGTTCTCCCAGGGAGAAGAGCCTTGAGATCACACCTTTGTCAGAGGTGCCACAATCCCCACCAGTTGCAAAGGCTGCCTGATCAAACCCCCTTGAGAAAGAAGAGCTAATAATGCTGGAGGATAGAGGGACTTAGCCAAGGTCACCTAAGAAGTTAGTGGCATTCCTTGCTTTAATTCATGGACAGACAGCTTTGTCTGCTTAGCTGTAGCATTGAAGTAGCTAGGCTTCCCAGAGGATATGAATTGCAGCAGGGGGTTAAAGGTTAGTTTTCAGAAAGAATTTTCTAAAGACAAAGGTTGGGAATCATTGCCAAACTCTTTCCAAGCTAAGTAGGAAGAAGGTGAGCCCTCCTTCTCTGGAGATTTTTAAAGAAAACGTGGACAGCATGCTTTTTATGATTACTGGGAGGCATTCCTAACTGGAGACTAGGATCAAGTGGCCTCCTTAGAGACCTCTCTCTGTCCTATAGCAGGGCAGGAGCTGCCCTGCCTCTACTATTCATTTCCTTTGCTGTTTTTCTGTGTGTTCCATGTGCCTGCAGCCTATAGTGGGAGAGGATTCTGGGTCCAGGTGAGCCCCTTCCTGTGGATGCTCAGGAGAGGCCAGGGAATGGACTTTGGGATAATTCTGAGTTTGAAGGGAAGCCATTAGAGGATGCGATTTGATTTACCTTTTTAAAAATGGTTCCTCTGGCTACATGCATAGGAAGGGGCCAGAATAGAAGCAGGCTGACCAGGAGGAAGCAGGAAGCCGAGAAAGTCTGCAGAAATACGGGTTCCTAGAAATGAGGCTCTGCCTCAGGCTTCTCACCTGACCCAGCACCTTCTCCAGAGAGGCTGACACACCCATCATTGCTGGATCTCCCCCCGCGGGGGCCCAGGAAACCCCCCAGAGGAGCCTGAGGATTTGCAAACTCTCTTTCTCATATGGCTGATGGTCAAAATCCGGCTCTCTTCACGCCTGCTGAGTCTTCCTTTAGTCACCCTCTTTCTCACCGTTTGGCCTTTCCTGGGAAAGATGCCTTTCCTTGCTCTCGAGAAATGCGTGATGTGATGGCATTGGCATGGGGGAACCGGAGGCTGGAGCCTCGTGGCTTTCCTCCAGCCTCCACTCCCTCCAGACTCCCACCTTATCGCCCTTCTCAGGGCTCGGTCAGGAAGAGTTTCGGAAGCTTAGTCGGGGTTTCTTCCTTTGGACCAGCCTTCTTCTAGAACTCTGTCAGGAAAAGATAGTATTGTGGCAAGGAAGCCGACTCTGCAGGAGAACAAAAAGAGGAGGGGAGGGGAGGACAAGGGCAGCGAAAGCAGCTGCGAAGGGAGAGGAGACGCCATTCTTCTGGGAGCTAAGTCATCCCCAGAGAATGCCAGTTGTGTCTGCCAGGCCCAGTGCAGGGAGCAAGTTCTTGCAGCAGCCCCGAGAAAGCCACATTTAGCATGAAGGGGGAGTTCAGACAGTCCAGTGGGGACCCTCTGCCCAGCACTCCCTGGAAGCCTTACCTTAGCTAGTAGGAGAAATACATCTGCCCAGCCTCTCCTTCCAGCCAATCAGAGGAAGACTGTTTGCTGGGAACTGAGGACAGGGACTTGACCTTTAGCCTAGGGTTCTAAGAAGAGCCATGGAGCCATAGGCTGGAGGGGGAGGGGTCCGAGGGGAGGGTGGGCATGCCTGCTGAGGGGGTGGACCCGAAAGTGAAATTAAGGTTCTGTGGGGCTTCTGGGACTTGGAGAATTCTTGGCAAAACTGGGGTAGTTGTGACACTTGGAGTCAGAAAGCCCCGGAGACGCCCTCTCACTCCCCATGTCTCTATTCTTCTCCCTTTCCTTCAACACGGAGCCCCAAGGTGATGTTACACCATTGCCAGAGGCCAGCAGGACGCTGCACCCTGAATTCAGCTACTGCAGTAGTCCACAGCTGGTCCATACTCCCAAGAAAATCTAGCTTTGGGTCACATTTTTTCTTTAAACTGAGTGCCAGAGGCCAGCAGGACGCTGCACCCTGAATTCAGCTACTGCAGTAGCCCACAGCTGGTCCATACTCCCAAGAAAATCTAGCTTTGGGTCACATTTTTTCTTTAAACTGAGAGTAAGCTGAGGTCCCTACTACGAGAGGTAGAGGATGGACCACTGTCTGCTCAGCACTCTGCCAAGTCCTTACATAGTGTAGTCCTCACAAACCCCCCTGAGGCTGGAGACCCTCACAACTTAGCAGAGGAATGCCGATGCCATGAGGCTAAGGCACTTGCCCAAGCTTAAACAGCTGGAGCTGGGATTTGAACCCCTATTTGTCAGACTCTGGAGCCCAGACTTTTGCCCTGACATCTGTCTCTCCACTCTAACCTTAACTGGAGTCCTAAAAATGTTTCTGAGGAGGGTGACAGGACCTGAAATAGGAAAGAGACAACTTGAGTACGCTGCTTTGGTAGGCCTGAAACTGGCGGCTTGTCATAGACACAGGGTAGCTGCTGGGGCCCAGCTCCCAAGTGGCCTGGGGGCCTGGAAAGCTACATGCTCAGTCATGATTGATGTGGCCTCCAGATCCAGAAAGAACCTTCTATTGATTAGAAGGGTCAAGGATGCATTTTTTAAGATGCCTTATTTAAGCACTAGTTGCTTAGGAGGCCCAGGATTGCTCAGGCTGATCCCCAAGGCCTTGGCCACAGTGAGGCTGGGCATGAAACAAACATCCTGAAATTAATCCCCTCCAGCCCTGCCTTGTGGCCCTTGAGAATGTCAAGCAGACACCATTTGGAAAAGGTCTTTCCCACCAGTTCCTGCCTAACACTGGGGAGACTGAGTAATTAACAGTAACACTGATACTTGTCTTCCCCATGTGTCCAGGAGGGGGGTGACTCTGGGCTGCTCTGGGGTGGAAGCAGAAGGGGTCTGTGCCGTCTCTGAGCACCACCTCTTCTGTCTCCCAGGATCCTGCAGGCCCAGGTGCCTCCTGTGTTTCTCCAGCAGCAGCAGCAGTACCAGTACCTGCAGCAGCCCCAGGAGCATCCCCCGCCACCACACCCAGCCACTCTCAGCCATGGCCCCCTGGGCTCTCTCAGTCCACCTGGGGTGGAGGGGCCAGCAAGTGCCCAGGCCTCCTCAGGTAGTGCCCACCTGGCCCAGATGGAGACTGTGCTGAGGGAGAATGCCAGGCTGCAGAGAGACAACGAGAGGCTGCACAGGGAGCTGGAGAGCTCAGCGGAGAAGGCTGGCCGCATTGAGAAGGTAGGCCCTGCTGGGACCTCGGGGGGGACAGGGAGAAAGGAACTGCAGGGGCTGACCGGGGAGTGGGCAGTCCAAGGGGAGGCAGAGGAGCCTGAATGCCTATGTCTGGCTGGATTTCTCACCCATCCGTCTGTCCCCCACCCTCCTCACCGCTCGTGCACCCTCCCAAGCTGACTCCAGACAGCTGGGGAGCAGCCGAGAGGCTGGCAGAGCAGGCCTGGAGCGTGAGCAGTTGCTGGCCAGTGATGGTTAGAAAGAGCCCATTCACCAGCTCCCCGCACACTCACACCCTTGCCCTGCACACACCCCTCCCGTGGACACCTCCCACAGAGAGCTCTTTGTGTCCCCCACACAACAGCAAGTCTGTTCCAGGCCAGCCCTGGCCAAAGAGAAAGCCCCTCCTCTTGGGGGGAGAAAAAAAAAAAACGAGCGACTTGTTGGAATTGCAGGCTGGCTAGGAGCACGTGCGGAACCTGCCGGCAGCCAAGTGGGAGGGGCAGCCGGGGCCAGGCTCGGGGTGGATGGCAACGGTGGATGGCAGCTCTGGCTTGAGTCCAGTGCCCTCTTCTTCAGTCAAAGTTTACCCGTCGTATGCTAAGGCTAAGGCTCAGCTTTAGCAGATGGCCTCAGGCCTCCCATGACTCTCCTGGGCTATCCAAGATAGGTCAAACCACCCAGAACATGGCTGGAGTCTTTTTGTGCCAACTCCTGTCCCACTGTGCTCAGATTTCTCAGCAGAAGCCAGCCAGAAGTCAAATGCTTCTTCCTAGATGTTGGGCAAAGGAGAGCTGTGCTTGCCACCCTGGAGGCAGCCATGTCCAGAGTACCTGGCCTTGGGTTCACTCGGCTTGCTGGTTCCAGCAGTCTGGTCTGCCTCAGGAGGCAACAGGCTCTGCCGGTCCCACTATAGCCACCTGGATTTTTTGCTCCTGCTTTTTTTTCTCTCATCTCTCGCCTTTTCTGATGGAGAGTAGCAGATGGGCCTGAGATCCCTCCCCAGGAGCTCTCCCCTTCCTTCACCTCTGCTGTCTGCCTCTTACAGCTGGAAGGTGAGATCCAGCGGCTCTCTGAGGCCCACGAGAGCCTGACAAGAGCCTCTTCCAAGCGGGAGGCCCTGGAGAAGACCATGCGGAACAAGATGGACAGTGAGATGAGGAGGCTGCAGGACTTCAACCGGGATCTTAGAGGTGAGCGCCAGCCACACAGGTGGAGGGTCGGGGAGCATCTGCAGAGGGCTCACTTCCTCTGCTCTAGGGGAAAATTCAGAATCTCTGTTCTCTGCAATAATAAGTACAAACTGACTGAGAAGGGACCAGGCTGAGACTTCTTGGGAGCCAATGCTTATCTTTGTGTTCTGGATCTTGGAACCCCTCATGGAGCTCTCACCATGTGGCCCAGATCACAGCCCCTGATGGGAGTACTCCCTCTGCATTGGGCCCTGAGTCAAGCCCATCTCCAGCTGCAAGAGTGCAGCCTCACATAGAGGACCCCAGGGAAAACCCCAGGCAGGCAGCTTCACCTGACAGTAAAACATCTTTCTTTCATTTGAAACAGAGAGATTGGAATCTGCAAACCGCCGACTGGCAAGCAAGACACAGGAGGCTCAGACGGGCAGTCAGGACATGGTGGCCAAGCTGCTTGCTCAGAGTGAGTAGGGGTCTCACTAAGAAGCCTGTCCAGGTGTGCAGGTGGGGGGACCCTCTGGACAGAGAGGATTGGCCCTTCCCCTTGCAAAGCAGTACTTTGGGCAGTAAGTGACTGAATGCCTACTGTATGCCAAGCACTGGACTGGGCCTCGGGGAGAAGGGTGGCTTCCAAAGAAGAATAAGATCTACTTCTATATTTACTGGGAAGATCAACTGATACAAGACGGAAAGCTAGGAAGAAGTGATTTGCTAAGCTGTGGTGCGGCCCAACAGAGAAGTGTGGGTCAGAAACAGAGGTGCGTTGGGCAGTGGGGGAGACAGTGGGATGAAGGAAGAGTCTGAGAGTTTCCCAGAGAGTTCCAGGCCTCGGAAAGGTTGGGGGCACCCAGTGGAAATGTGAGAAGCTGGGGGGCCTTTACAGGGCAGCCAAGTGGAGTCACCTGAAACAGCCAAAAAGGGGCTTCTAGAGCTTAACTATCAGTCTAAAGAAGGGTTCAGGAGGCTTCTTTCTAAAGGGGTTAGTCCAAGCATCGTGAATGGTGGATGAGTTCATTAACTAGTCCATTTATTCATCTGTTCATTAGCAGAATTGTGCTAAGCACCTGGCAGAAGGTGCTGTTTAGCAGAAGGTGGGAGCAGGCCCAGGAAGGTACCATGGCGGGGAGGTCAAGAGAGAGGGGGTGAGCTTAAGGAAGGAGCAAGTTCCCCCAGGTGCAAGAGAACAAGGTGTTCATGGTCCTGGAGACTAGTGATTAGGAGGCCCCTGGTGGCCTGAGAGAGGCTCTGAGAGAGATGGCAGGGGTGGAGAGCGGGCCAGAGGTGAAGGAGCAATTGGATGGCTCAAGTGGAGGTGTGTGGAGGGAGCCCGGAGGTAGAGGGAGCCCTGAGATCAGCAGCAGAAGGAAGCGCTAGCAACAGAAGAGACAGAGCAGTAACTTGCTGAGCTGCTACAATGCACTATAGTGATGTTCGAGGTGTTTGCAGAGAAGAGGAATGGGAGTGGTTGGTGTCTGGGTAAAGGTGGCTTTGAGGATGGAGGGGGTCAAGAAACCTATCAGGAAACCTACTAAGTGGCACAGATGGTAGGGATGTCCAGAAGTGGAGGAGAAGCTTGAGGACTGAGCTCTGGCTGGCAGCATGCCCTTCTTCCTTCAAGGAGGGCTCAGAGCCCTGGACAGGGTCCCCTTGAGTGGGGGGATTCAAAGCCCAGGGCAGGGAATGGGGGGACACAGCAGTGAAGGGATTGAAGGGTGGGGCAGAACATAGGCTGGGCTGTGAGGTACAATGGTTACAGTCTCTGGCAGGGAGGTGATAGGCTGAGAGAGAAAGGGAGTCTAGAGAGGAGGAGCTGCTGGGGGCAGGCAGAATGGGGGTGTCCAGTGGATGAGGGCAGTCTCGTGGGGCCTGGCTCTGCCAAAGAAAGTAAGTCAGGGGGGCGGGTTTCTGGGAGCTTGCAAGGGGAGTAGAGGGGGGAGCCGGCAGGGAGGCGTTTCCGCTCCCCAGGGAGTGAGCAAGCGCCAGGCTGTTCTTGGCTCCTTGCTGGAGCCATTAATCTCGCAGCCGCGGGTGACCTGGATGCCTGGCATTCCTGAGCCTGGGCTGTTCCGCTCCCGGCCCGCCCCCCGCCGCTCCCTCCCCAGCGTGCTGCTTAGGGTGCTGGGTTTTGGGAGGAGGGAGGGCGAACCAAGACAAAGGGACACTGGGCCGGAGGTGGGGGCCTCGCCTGCTCAAGGCGCATCCCCCATCCCCTCCACGCCTTGCCCTGCCTTCCTGCCGGCCCTCTGCCCACCTCCGCTGCTCTCTTCTCCAACCCTCACCCCCGCCCAGGCCACATACTTCTGAGAAGCTCCTCCGAAGGTCCACAGGCCCATGGTTTTAACAGAGTCCTGGTGGCTGGGGATGGCCAAGGCCCGAAGCCTCCCTGCCCCCACCAGGGCATTAGAAGTTGTATAAGGCTGCAGGAGGCTTCTGGAAGCAGAAAGGTGGGTCTACTGGCCTCTCCTCTGCAGGGCTGAGGAAACCCAAGTAGCTCTTCCTTGGTCCATCCAGAAGGACTGCAGAGAAAACAGGATTCTCAGGGAAGATGTCTCTGGTCGACCTCACTTTTTTCTGGGGTCAGTTAGCACTGGTTCAAAAGTATGGCCATTGTCACCAGTGCCATCTGCTTTTCCTCCTAGGCACACCATGCAGCCCCCCACAGTGCCCTTGTGGCTCCTCTGGCAGGCCCTGCCCTCCCTGGCGGTCTGGCCTTGAGTCCTGAGGCCTGACTCTTCTAGCTCTGCCCCCTTGGTCATGTTTCTTGTCACCCTGAGCCTCCGGGTCTCCGGGTGTAAGATGGGATAGTCCTGCCTCCCAGAGTCATGCTAAGGCTGGAATGAGATGCAGGCCTTGTGCAAACTCTGTAAGCTGTAAGGCTCTGGGAACCAACACAGGAGGGGGACACTGTCTGTGATCCAAACCTGCCTGCCCCCCTCCACCCCGCTTCAGTGACTCAATTTCAATATTACTAGTCTTCCCCATCATTTCCCTCCATGCCAAAGAATGAAGCCAGCCTGGACCCAGCCTTCAAAAATCCAGAGTGAGCCAAGAGTTGACGTGGGTTGCCTCTGCATCCACCGTCTTCTGCCCCAGGGCCCTGAGAGAATGAATCCTCCCTTCTGCAAGCCAGGGTCTCAAGCTTTCTCACTCTTGCAACTGTCCTAGGTGACAGGTACCTAGCCACATGTGGCCCGAAGATTAAAATGAATGAAAATCAAATAAAATTTAAAATGTTGTTCCTCCATCTTATAGTCACATTTCAAGTGTTCAATAGCCACGCATGCCTGGCGGCTACTGCAGTGAATAACACTGTGTAGAACATTTCCATCCAGCAGAAATTTCCACTGAATCAGAGTGCTGCTCTACAGACAGTGCCTTTGAGCCCCACAACCCTCCTCCCTGCTACCACCCCACTCTCTAGCAAGGTAAGCAGGTGACCCACTGCTCCAGGGATCAGCCTGGGACTCCCAGAGGCAGGTGCATGGAAGGTGGATTTAAGTCCAGAGCACCGGCCAGAGGACGGTGTGGTTTGGCTTGGGCCTTGCTTGGCCCAGCTATTTGGAGAGGGTCTCTGAGCAGAGTTCCTCTAGGCAATTAACAAGAAGATTTAAAAGTCAGGGCAGCTCGAACCTCAGACACAAATCTTTGGGCCGTAGTCATTTTCACTGTGCTCCAGGGTTTACATTCCTTTTGGAGCGTGGTTGCCCACCTATCATGGTCTCCCCAGACCATGGGAGGAAATGTGGCACTACATGGGAGCAGCCTGGGCCTTTGAAGCCAACTTGGTCCCCATCTGGCAGCACCATTCACCTCCCATGTCTCCTCCCCTATAAGTTGGGGGTCACAAATCCTACCTCGAGTGGTGGGAGGATTCAGTGGAATAAGATGTGTAAGTGCCCAGCTCAGAGGGCAGCAAACGATGGTTTTCTTCCTTCTCTCACTTGCATGATGTCCACGTCACAGCCCTCCTGAGCCTTCATTTTCTCATCTGTAAGTGGGCATCACAGTTCCTACCTCACCAGTCTCTAGTCATCCTCAAGGGAAATTGTGAATGTGTTCTGGAAGTGATGACACCTGGCATAAGAGGACAGTGTTTGGGGCTGTCCCATTGCAGACCCATGTCCCAGCAGAGAGGCAGTATAGCTGAGTCATTACTACAAGGGTCCTGGAGTCAGGCTTTGCCATTTATTCCTGACAACCTGAATCTCGGTTTTCCTCCCTTGTAAAACGGGGTCAGTAATGGTACCTAGCACCTAGGGGTTGCTGGGGGGATGAAAAGCAATTCTGCTCACCCACAGGTCATCACAGAGCCGGGCAGGCAGGGGGGCCAGCCACGGGGGGTCGCCGTCCCTGATCGAGCCCCTCTTTCTCCCTGCAGGCTACGAGCAGCAGCAAGAGCAGGAGAAGCTGGAGCGGGAGATGGCTCTGCTGCGCGGTGCCATCGAGGACCAGAGGCGGCGCGCCGAGCTGCTGGAGCAGGCCCTGGGCAACGCTCAGGGCCGGGCAGCACGAGCCGAGGAGGAGCTGCGCAAGAAGCAGGCGTACGTGGAGAAGGTGGAGCGGCTGCAGCAGGCACTCGGGCAGCTGCAGGCCGCCTGCGAGAAGCGGGAGCAGCTGGAGCTGCGTCTGCGGACGCGCCTGGAGCAGGAACTCAAGGCCCTGCGTGCACAGCAGGTGAGCCGGGAAGACCCACGGAGGTGGCAGAGCTAGGATGGCATCTGAGGATGTCAGCTCCCCATCCTCCTTTCAGGGTCTAGGTTTGGGGCCCCTTAGAGCCCCTGCTCAGATCCAGGCCATGGCCCCCATAGAAGGCACGGGTGACTGATCTCTGTTCCACCTCTGCAGCATGGTCCCTCCCTCTCACCTATGTCAGCAGAGGCTCTGTCCAGCCTTGGGGGACTCCTGTCCTCGGCAGCAACAAGGTTTGGCATCGTTAATTGGAAGAGAAAGTAGGTCAGACACCTTGCTATAGCAGACTAGCCAGCTCTCTTATATGTCTCCCCAAGATCAGGAGGGAACATGGTTGCCCTGATCCTGAGTCTTTATCCTCGCTTTGGACTTCCGTGTAAACAATTCTTGGTGTTTACCAACCAGATAGAGTTCTGTCTCCACTCCTAACCTTACCTTTCCCACAGAAGTAGGGTGACCAAATTTCCTGGTTAGCCTGGTTCGGTTCTAGTTTATACCCATTGTCCCAGTGTAATTATTGATAGCACCTCCTTTCCCAGTTTGGAGGATCTTTTTTTTTTTGTCCTTTTTTTGAGACTGGCCGCACCGCGCTCAGCCAGTGAGCGCTGTGAGCGCACCGGTCATCCCTATATAGGATCCGAACCCGCGGTGGGAGTGCTACCGCGCTCCCAGCGCTGCACCCTCCTGAGTGCGCCACGGGCTCGGCCCTGGAGGATCATTTATATGGTCACCCGTGCCCTTATGCCCTTGGCCACAGATTCAGGGAAGGGATATGGGTACTCCCCGTATCCACGCCCCCATCTGGGTGGAGGGAGGATGGGGTAGTGTGCTGTGCACAGCTGAACAAGCCCATGCACAAGTGAGGGTCATCGTGTGGGGGTTAGGACTGGGGACCGCCACACCCCAACCTCCGCCCTTGACAGCAGTGCCCCTTGCTCTGCAGAGACAGGCAGGCACCCCTAGTGGTGGGAGTGGCAGTGGTGGGTCCCCAGAGCTTAGTGCTCTGCGGCTGTCGGAGCAACTGCGCGAGAAGGAGGAGCAGATCCTGGCACTGGAGGCTGACATGACCAAGTGGGAACAGAAGTATCTGGAGGAACGTGCCATGAGGCAGTTTGCCATGGACGCGGCCGCTACAGCTGCCGCACAGCGCGACACCACCCTCATCCGACACTCCCCTCAGCCCTCGCCCAGCAGCAGCTTCAACGAGGGCCTGCTCACCGGCGGCCACAGGCATCAGGAGATGGAAAGCAGGTGCAGCATCGCAGGCCAGCTGGGGTACCTGTGGTGGGGGTGGGGGTGGCAATGTCCAGTCCCCATCCTGTCCTTGGTCCTTGGTAAATAGGCCCCTCTCCCCACACAGCTCTGCAATCCCTCCTGCTTCTGAGCTGGCCCCACATATCTGGCATACCAGGGATCGCAAGCGTGCTCTTTCCCAGAAATACCAACTGAGTCCTCAGTGTGCCCAGGGTAGACTCGAACTATGGAGGTGTTGGATGCCATCCAAAGCTCTGGGCCTCTTCCTCTCCTCTCCGGAGTATCGCCCTCCAGGACGAGGGTTGTGCCACTGCTAGCATCAGATGAGTCTAGAAGCCAACTCCCGATGACTTACCTTTGCTAGAGTGAGAAGGGTCGAGAGCCTCATTATTGTGGTTTTCAGAGCCTGGGCATCAAATTCCAGAGCTGTGATGATGTTTCTGAAGGCCCACTCCAGGCCCCTGCTGCATGGGCAGAAGGTCCAGCCTGGCTGTAGGGAGAGCATTCCTTCCAATGCTGACAATGTGGGCCTGGCTCTCACCCCTCAGGTTAAAGGTGCTCCATGCCCAGATCCTGGAGAAGGATGCAGTGATCAAGGTCCTTCAGCAACGCTCCAGGAAAGACCCTGGCAAGGCCACCCAGGGCTCCCTGCGGCCTGCCAAGTCGGTGCCATCTATCTTTGCGGCTGCAGCAGCAGGGACCCAGGGCTGGCAAGGGTTCTCATCTAGTGAGCGGCAAGTGGATGCCCCTGCCAGACTAGCAACAGGTAAGAGGAGGCTAGTGGGTGGGATAGATAGAAGGAGTTTCTCTCAGGCCTGAACATGACCTTTCCTCTCAGAACCAAGCCTCATAGGAGCCAGGGCTTCCTAATTCCTCTCCCAGGGCAGTGGCTTATACTCTGGCTCAAGTGACCCTACAGCCCACAGCTGTCCTGCCAGTGTGAAGAGGGGTGCTTAGCCCCCATCTCCATAAATTTCATCACCCTCAGCCCCAGCCACTAAACCATCTAAGTAAAAATAGAGCTGCCTGTGCAGATGCACCAGCAGATGCCACAGAAATTCAAGAAGACTTGATCTACAGAGAAGAGTTCCTCTACTTAAGATGTTTAGAAATCAATCCAGCCTGATAGTTATTCCCATATGAAAACAGGAGCATTTAGTCTTAATCAAAGTTCTTGCAAATCAAGAGCAACCCACACCACTCGAGTCCCCAGTAGGTACAGTTAACTCAGGGTGTTCTTTTTCAGGTCCACATGTTGTAGGCAAGGCAGTAACCTTCAACCTCCTGTCTTTTCAGCAGACAGGGCACCCTCGGAGGAGCTGGTGGCTACAGCTCCCCTCCCTGCCCATGCCAAACACGGGAGCAGAGATGGGAGCACACAGACTGATGGCCTAGCAGATGGTGCCTCTGCCTGCCTGGCCTCAGAGCCCGGCAGCCTGCTGGGGTTCAGCAGTGGCCAGAGGGCAGCCTCTCTGGGTAAGGCCCCCTGCTCCCCAGCTTCTGTGCTGGAAAGGGCTGAGGGCATCCTGGGGTGTGAATGGCACACCCAAGCCCTTTCTTCCCAGACCCCTCCTGGTCATCACCCACACTCTGTGGGGAGCACTGCAGAGAGAGAGGTGAGGCGGGTACCTGGCCCACCTCAGTGTGAACACGAGGGTTGAGGTGGATGCATAAGGACAGGCATTGGAAACCCTGGTTACAGCCAGAGCCAGAATTCAGAAAGAAAGCCACCAGATGGGAGGACTTCATCTCCTCTTTCATAGTCTTCCTTACATTTTTAATTGCCAATCTAAACATCTAAGATAATGGAGCTTGGCA